GTTTCGGCATCTGAAGCCCGGGCCATCAGAAATGGATCCAGGAGTGGAAACTGGCCCCGGGAAGGATTCGGGACTTTTGAGGCCGCGCATTGAAAATCATTTCGTCGGGGTCGGAGGATCGGGTCGGACAATTTCCAGGCCTCCCAAGTGCGGTCCGAGTAGATGCGTCGGTGGATGGCGCCGCATCGCCGACGCATCGGGGATGCAGTTCGATGTGGATTCCCACTTTCCCCCACGCTGGCGTCTCCGACGCATCGCCGATGTCGGCGATGCATCGGCGATGTGACGCCTATCCTCCGACCCCGTCTACGCGGACCCCGTTCGGGAGGCCTCCTCGAACCCGCACGGCCGAAGTGACCAAGCATGCAGTGATTGGAGGAGGAGGAGGAGGAGGAGGAGGAGGAGGAGGAGGAGGAGGACGAGGACGAGGGCGAAGAGGAGGAGGAGGAGGAGGAGGAGGAGGAGGAGGAGGAGGAGGGCGCAGGTCTGCGCCGCCTTCGGCCTCCAGCCGGGGCCCCCGCTGGGCCCCTGGGGGCCTGCCCGGGAGCGGGCTCGGGAGGCAGGCACCGCTCTGCCGGGAGGGTCGGCCTCCCTGGGGCCCCGCACATCGGGCAAGACGCCGGCTGTCTTCGGGGGCGGCAGAGAGGGGGGTGATGACTACCCAGACCTCCTCGCGTCGTGAAAAAATCACGACGGGAGGTTTTTCGCTATTTTCGGCCTCTGATGGCCCTTACCGGGCCTCGGGACCGTCAAAAAACGACTCGGGATGAAAAACCGGTCCCGGGGAATGGGTCTGGACCTCTGGGGGTCGCGTCATGAAAAAATCACGACGTCGGGGGTCTGGGTAGGGGGGGATATCATGGCGGGGGCCATGATATGTCCTCAGACTTCATGGCGCCTTGTCTCACTTCCTGACGTCCCTGGCCCCCCCGCTGGGCCGCACGCGTGCCGCCGGTCATGGTTTGCGCCCCCCCCCCTCTTGGACACCCCCCTCCTGGCCGCTCCCGATGTCTGGGAAGGAGGCCCTCGGCCGCTCGGCCTGCGGAGAGGCCCTCGCGGGGCCCCAGGGGCCGTCCAAGAACGGCTCGGGTTGAGTCGGGCCTGTCCCTCTACAGGAGGGAACTTCAAAAAGATATTCAGCAAACAGTCCGGGGGCGATGCTTTAAGCCTATTTGGGGGCATTGGGGGGAGCATTTCTGGAGCACCTTTGATTTATCGTCCGAAATCCGCCTGTAGGGGGACATGCCCGACCTGAGGCTCGGGATGAAACCGCGGTGCTGCTGGGAGGGCCAGACGTCCAGGGGCCCCGCTCATGGAAACGAGCGGGACGCAGGACGTCTGGCCGATCCTTTCTCGTCGCGGTCGCTGTCAAATCCGCAACTGCTCCTGCTCGAGCGCTTCCGAGCCCAGGGGGGATGAGGAAACACTCGGGATGCAGTGAAGTCAGAAACGTGAATGTGGAGGAGCAGTCAGGATGCAGTGACGAAGCAGGCGACCGGCGGCGGCGGGCCTCTCCGGCCACGCCTGCTCTCGGCCGAGGGCTGCCCAGACGCGTCCCCATGGTCTGCGGGGTCCCCAGCCTGTCGCTCTGCCTCTCGATTCATCCCCGGGGGGGGGGGGCCTCTGGGCCCTGTGGGGAGGGGGTGCTCTGGCTTGGCACCGCTCGGGCAGGTGCTCCTTCTTTACCAGCGAGGACCGTCGAGGAGCATTTGGGGTCACCTTGCAAAGCAAGCGACGCACGGAACCGGAGCACGCACGGGGAGTCAAGGGCTCCCACGAGGGCGCGAAGCTAGTCGCGCTTCGCGGTCCTCGTTCCTTCTCCCCCTCCTCCTCGTCCTCCTCTTCTCCCTTGGGGGGGCGGCGCGAGAGCGCGAAGTCATTCGCGCCTCGCGGAGCGCGAGAGTGCGAAGTTGGGAGCCCTAGGGGAGCGGACGCCCGAGCGATGGCAAGCCACAGAGAACCGCGGGGGCGCCCCTGGGCCGGGGACGCCTCTGGCACCGCCGCCCGGGCGCTCCGGCCCTGCCTCGAGGGCGGCCTCCGCCTGGCCGGGGGGGGGGCGGAGCGGGCGGGCCGGTTTTGTGATGGGCCCGTTTTCCACCACCACCACCACCACCACCACCACCACCACCATAAGCTGGAGGGGGGAAGGAGGTGGAGGAGGAGGAGGAGGAGCAAGAGGAGCAAGAGGGGGAGGAGGAGGAGGAGGAGGAGGAGGAGGAGGAGGAGGGAGGAGGAGGAGGAGGAGGAGGAGGACCCCCTGCCCCTCCAACTGATGGTGGTGGTGGTGGTGGAAAACAGGCCCATCATTTTGGGGCGCCTTGCTAGGTTGGCGCCGCCAGCCGGGCGTGCTCTTTTTTGTTCTCGTTGGGCGCGCCCTCGCCCAGCGCGCACCCGTTATCCCCCGGGTCGGCCACGGCCACGGGGAGGAGGGGGCAGGCGGGGGGCCCGGCCTGGGGGGAGGAGGGATCGAGGCTCGGGCCCAGGAGGGGGAGGGGGCAGG